TGCCATATTGCATTGCATTTTACAGAAAATTACAGTGCTGCAGATTGAAAAGGAAAGGTCATTTTCAAGTACAATATGACTTGCATAACAATTGTATATGCTATATTTTTTATTTGCTATCTTTTTGCCCACAAATGTGGGAGCACTTTAAACTGGGCATCGATGGTCTATGCTCAGCCTAAGTCTTTTATTTCACCCCTTACCGGACAGTCACAGGCTAGGGGAGGGTCAACACATGTAAGTGTTACTCAACTGCAGCATAAAAATCTGGTCTACTGCCTTTGGCAGGTAAAACAGCTCTGTTATAGGTATTTCAGCTGTGTACTTATCTGTTTTCCTGAAGTCTGGCTTTTAACATGTGTAAGGCTAGCTTCACATCTATGCAGGTTGCGTTTGAGCAATTTCTGCATTGCGTTTTGTGTTGCATTTTTGCACTTTTTTTTCATTTTTTTTTCTTGTTAGGCAAATTTAAAATGCAAAACTCATCAAAAACATAGGAAATACGCAGCAAAAACGCAATACATGCCTTTCTGCAGTGTTCCCATAGAACCAAAAACGCAACGTTTTGCTTTAAAAAAAAGTCCCTGACCCTTTCCAAAAAAACGCATCGGGTGAAAATGCACAGATAAGAACATGTCCCATAGGAAATCATGTTAATGGACTGTACTGTGTTTCTGCAAATCGCTGCAGAAAACGCTTAGGTGTGAACCTAGGGTAAAATAAGTTCATGTCATTTTTTAATTATATTAAAGTTTGACCAGTTAACAATCTCAGGACCACAGAAATGTTTGCTTTTTTAGCTTTTCAGTTGTAAGATATCCACCTGAAAATAATTCACAACTCACTACACCATAGGCCACTGAGCACATAATAAACAGTGAGACATTACCAATAAGGTTTACTAATAAACCCCCTGCAGAGCCGTAGAGGTTAATGGCCATACCAGACTACATCACCACAGGCTACAGTATAAGGCTCCATGCACACTAGCATTTATCTAAGCTCCTAGAAGCTGTTATCAACCAGGGGCGGACTGACCATTTGGAAACTCGGGCACTGCCTGAGGGCCCGGGGTCAGTAGGGGGCCCCATGAGATGCCCCTGGTACCTTTTTCATAGGCTTTTTTGAGTTTGGGCAAAGACACAGGGGCCCCATGATCCCCTATTGCCCGGGGGCTCCATGAGTTGTCAGTCCGCCGCTGTTATCAACATTTTGTTTCTGCTCCTAGAAGCCAAATAGTGTATCCTATGTTCATGTGCACTACTTTAGGTCATTAGCATATTTTTAGCTTCAGCGTTTAGGAGCAGAAAAAATTGTTTTTCTAGAGTTTTTGGAAAGTTTTTCCAGCAGAAAAAAACACTAAATGCTCCTTAACACTGCTACATGCTACAGAAATGCTCCTAAGAGCTCTGTTTTCGTTTTTTTTTTTTTTTCCTCTAAGTGTACTGTAAAAACGCTAATAAAACGCTAACGCTCCCAAACGCTTCTGAACGCTACAGAAAAACGCATTACCAGCGTTTTTTATTCAGCATTTTTGTGCTTGTATGCACAAACCATCCCAGATTAGGAAGGTTAATGACCATGCATGACAAGATCACCATATGTCACCACACTGACAGTTTCCAGTGAGACATTACCGACAAGGGATACTCACAGACCCTTTGCAGAGAAAGAGGGGTTAATGGCTTTACATGAATAGGTCAGTAAAGGGCACTATACAAGAGGAAATAATGAGAAATAGCCAACCTGGGATACCACTGCAGAGCAGGAGGGGTTAAAGGCTGTCCAAGATTAGGTTATTATAGGCCACCATACAAACAGTACACAGTTAGGCTAGGTTCACACTATTTTGGGTGGTGGTGGGAATCGCAGCTGTTCCCACACCAGCAACCACTCACAGCCAAAACGTGCTGCTCTTTAACCTCTTCCATTCCGGGCACTTTTACCCCCTTCCTGCCCAGGCCAATTTTCAGGTTCCAGCGCTCTCACACTTTGAATGACAATTGCGCGATCATACAACATTATACCCAAACTAAAATTTTATCATTTTTCTTCACACAACTAGAGCTTTCTTTTGGTGGTATTAATCACCACTGGGGTTTTTATTTTTTGCTAAATTAACAAAAGACAGAAAATTTGGGGAAAAAAAAAACACGTTTTTCTTTGTTTCGGTTATAAATGTTTGCAAATAAATAATTGTTCTTCATAAATTTAGGCCGAGATGTATTCTACTACATGTCTTTGGTGAAAATAACCCAAATTAGGATGTATTTTTTAGTTTGTAGGAAAGTTATAGAGTTCACAAACTATGGGATATATCTGAATATTGATCAATCCTGAAGTACTGACAGCCAATCTAATTTCTTAAGGTCCAAGAATGTCAGAACAGTACAGATATCCCCAAATGACCCTTTTTGCAGAGTAGACAGTCCGACGTACTTCATAAGAGGCATGGCGAGTTTTTTGAAGTTGTACTTTTTTGTCATAATTTTTTGGAAAATTAAAAAATTAAAAAAATTATTTTCACATTTTTTTTTCACATACTGTCACCAGTGCAGTACAGCGTCATCATATAACTGGCATGGCAGTGATCAGGGACACTGACTGATGACAGTATGAAAAAAAAATTATAATTTTTTAAAAAAAAAATTTAATTTATTACATTTTTTTTCTTTTTTTTATGATTTTCTTTTCAGATTTCACTATGACCAAAGTAGTACAATGTTACCATAGTAACATTGTACTACTTTGGGGAAGTGATCAGTATTTTTTTTTTCTTTTTTTACACAATTTGCTTATAGCAAAGAATTACTTTGCTATAAGCAAGCATTTACCTGAATGACATTGATTCATGCAGGGGTTTTTTTTTTTTTTTTTGTGCTTAGCTGTGATTTGGCCACGGCTAATCACATGACACAGCTGGGCTGTGATTAGCCCAGCTTGTGCATGTGATCGCTGTGACCATTCACAGCTAGACACACTAGTATACAATGGATGGCATGAATGAAGCCATCCATTGTATACAACTGTCATGTGACCTGCTGTTATTGGTCACAGCAGGTCACATTGTACCGGCAATGGGGCCGGTACTCAGATCTGTCATCGGCCGTGTCCGAGGTACACGGCCCGTGACAGATCGCGCCGCTGCGCGGCTCTGCAGGCGTGCAAACTGCGCATGCCCGAAAGGACGCCATATGGTGTCCACCCGGAAAGGTGAGTATTTTTGCCGGCCGCTATTCGGCCATAGGGAAGAGGTTAAAAACGCAAGGCCTGCCATTCATTCTTAATGGCACCCCCATGCATGTAAACGCATTTGCAGGTGCAGGAACTGCAGGGAAATTGCATGCTGCAAAAGCACCAAGCAATTTGCGGGCCTATGCATTTTCAAAATGCTGCAGGAGCCTTTTTCCTGTGTGAAACACAGACACAGTTATTTGGCAATAACTTGATCATTACTCACGATAACAAATATGCTTTGTTTTTGTTTTGTTTTTGGGGGGGGGGGCAAACTAGGCTTTCTTTTGGCAATATGTCTTGCAAAAATGAATATATTTTTTATGTAATCAATAGATAAAGTGATGTAAAAATATGTATGTTTTTCTATTTTACCCGTGTTGATTTTAAAAATAGCATTACTGCAAATAAAAAGTATACATTTTATTCAACACTTTGTTCCATTTAAAATGACACTAAATGATATTTTGGGTACAAAGTCTGGCAAACATATTTGCAAATGAAAAAAAGTTTTTGCAACACTGAAAAAAAAAATATGAAAAATTTAATTATGAAATAAAAACATTAAATTACAGTCATAACCAAAAATATTGCCACCCCTGCATTTCTGTCAGATAATGCATAACTTCGCCCAGACAATTGTTGTAATTACAAATGTTTAGGCATTTTCATGTTTGTTTTTTTGTCTGTATTGGTATGACACAACAAAGCAGAGAAAAAAAAGCCAAATCTGACACATTCCACATAAAACCCCAAAAATGGACTGGACAAAATTATTGGCACCTTCTCAAACTTTTAAGAATAATTACATTCCAAGTTTGTGATGATCCTGTCATTTGTAATTAAACTCACCTCTATCAATAAACATATCTCAATGTTCCTGTGTCCACTGTGCGCAACATTGTCAAGAAGTTTACAGCCCATGGCACTGTAGCTAATCTCCCTGGACGTGGACGAAAAAGAAAAACCTGTTCAAAGACTGCAGCAAAGGATTGTTCGATGATGGATAAAGAACCTCAATCAACTTCCAGACAAATTCAAGCTGACCTTCAGGCACAGGGTACAATTGTGTCAGCTCGCACTATATGCTGCCATCTGAATGAAAAGGGACGCTATGGTAGAAGACCCAGGAGGACCCCATTGCTGATACAGAAACATAAAAAAACCATGACTGTATAATAATAAAAATAGAAATGTAAAAAAATATTAGCTAAGGGAAAAGGGAAGGAAAAAATTTCTCAAGGCTTATCGGGGTTAACCAAGAATTGCTAAAGGGTTAAATAGGAATACATTGTATTGAAAAATGTTTTTTGTAAGGTTATTTTAACGTATGTCAAATGCAGATCAAAGATGTGACAGAAAATCAAATGAAACAATACATGGTTATATTGTATTTACTCAATGACACCTGCATTCTATCTATGCTCCTGGTTTGCAATAAACACCAATGCCTGGCTATCATTTTGACAATTGTTAATTACTGGTAATAGCTGGAGGAAGAGCAGTGGCGGGGAAAAGGAGCTAAACATAGGAGATACATACCAGAAATATTGTTCAAGTTTTTTAGGATGATTCTTCTACCTCCAATATCCTCACATTTTTGGAAGGACTACATACTGTAGGCCGAAGCTGGGACTGGTTACTTTTATGGGAAGAACGTCTGGCCCTTATTTCATTATTTAACACCCCGGTCACATCAATTGTGACTTTGAAATCGTGTGACTTATAGTGAAGATTTCAAAGTCGGGGTGTCATTGTGATTTTAGGTGCGATTTGCAAGACATCTGACACAGATGTCTATGCAAATCGCACCAAAAGTAGTGCATGCACTACTTTAGAAATCGGTGTGACTCCGTCTGAGTCAGAACAGCACCGATATCATTGTTGTAATTGCGGACAATAAGGTGTGACTTGGAATGCGATTTATAAATCGCACGGCATGCAAATCGCATGCCAAGTCGCGCCCAGTGCGACCCGGGTCTTAATGAATTTCATTTGCTTAGTTAAAGATAAGTTCACCTTTAAGAACATGTTACATGTTCCACCTGTTTTTTAGGGTGGAAGATGTAACATGTTCCTGCTCCTGGAGCCACTCCCCACTCTCCTTGTGACATCACGTCCGTGATCCTCGTACCTGCTGTCACTATTTGAAATGAGTGCAACCGTGCGGGGCTCCACCCTCACCATTCATTTACAAAGTTCTGTGAATGGGAGAACTACAAGTACCAACATCCTTTGAGGCCGTTGGCTTGTATTTTTCAATGAACTACAAGGGCACTGCTGAGTGCTCTAGGTAATTCATTGTTTCTTCCTGTCATTGTGTAACTGCCTGCCCGTACGAGGTATGAGAAACAGCTTATACTGACAGTCTGCAGGAGTCTTGCATTGCAGTGCTTTGCAGGCTCCTATTTTTTTTAAAAAATGCATATTTTTACCTAAAAAAAGGTGAATTTATTATTTTTTTACAAAGGCGAACTGATCCTTTAAGAATGCATTTCATTACTTATACAGTATGTGTATTTATCCTCTGGAACGTGCTGGGAATTGTGAATTTTGTGATGATAAAAGTCACCCTAAATAGGCTCACAATAGATAATACATAACTGAAATGCAGCCCTGTAAACCAATGAAACCCCAGGTAAATAGCTGGCTTTGCAGTCTGTTAGAGTGATACAGTCAAGATTTACACTTGATGTATAGTTTAACCACTTTCCGTCTGCTCACAGTAGATTTATTGCAAGCAGGCGGCAATGTAAATGTATGTTGCTAGCTTTCTTCCAGTTTTGGGGCACGCATGCGCGCATCCCCTGATGACCTGTACTGTGACTGGACACAGCATGAGTTTGTCACCAGGTTTCAGCCAATGATTTCGGCTAAAACCTGCTGATTGGCTGTGTGCAATTACACTACAGAGTTCTATGTTTACAAAACATATAATTCTGTGTACACAGAACAACAATCTAGCTGTTTCTTCTCCCTGAAAAGCAGGGAGAAAAAAACAGCCAGATGTAAGTATAAACAGCATACATTACACACATTACACTTGTTAGGCACAGTTAACCCCTTGATGTTAATCCCTTCCATGCCAGTGTCATTAGTACATTGTACAGTATTATATCTGATCACTGTGTTAGTGTCACTAGTGACATCAGTGTCAGTTAGTCAGTTACTGTCCCAGCCAGTGTCTATCACCAGAATGCATGCCACACTATCACAGTCCCACTATAAGTCGTAGATCACCACCATTACCAGTATAACGTCTATAGCTCTATAAATTCAAGTATACTGTATATACCATAGTTTGTAGACAATGTAACTTTAACACAAGCCAATTAATATACACTTATTGGGATTTTTTTAAAGACATATAGCAGAATACATTTTGGACTAAATTTATGAAGAAAAATTTTTTTTTTTAATTGGATATGTTTAAAAATATAAAGTAAAAAAATATAGTTTTTTGTCTTGTTCTGTTCTTTCTTCATTTATATAATAAAAAAACCCAGTGGTGATCAAATACTACCAAAAGAAAGCTCTTGTCTGAAAAAAATGATACAAATTTCATTAGGGTACAGTTGAAGTAGCACAGTGCTGTAGAGCAAAACATGTCCTGGTCATGAAAGGGGTAAAACCGTCCAGAGGTCAAGTGGAAAAAAAAAAAAAACAAGTAGTTACCAGTCATCCCCACCAGATGGCATCGAAGAGTTCATCATTTAATACCAACCATATAATTACTGAAAATCAGGTCTGGGAGCTGTTCTAGGGCAAAATTTGTGTATACCAAAATACTTATATGTGATGTAATATTTGCCAATATTTAACAAAAGATCTGAAATCTCCGTGCCAGAAGCATACTTCTCCTTTTATCAATTATCTTTTCATTTTGAAGTTTTATTTAGAAACCCCACACACCATTTATACTGATTCTGACAGTATAAGTGCGAAACTAAGTTCTTTTAAAAAAAAAAAATTACGTATCTACTACACAGTATATCTGTATGTACCAGATTGATGTGTGAATAAAAACTATTTTAGATACCCATAACTTTACAGTCTAGTGGAAGCCTTTTCTACTAGGATAAGTTCAGCAGAATGGCCTCAAAAGCACAGCTGTAGGGTAAACACTGGTGGTTTATCATTTTACGGATGAGTGATTTCTCCCCATGTATAACACACATCTTGAGAATTTTGGAAATCCTGGGATTTGGAGGAGTCAAAATGTATCATCCATAATAATGCTGAAAACAGAATGAAACAAGCTATTTGTTCTGCAATGGCTGTTGAAGGATCTTCTGCGACTTTTTCTTCAGCATTTAATACAAACAAGAGAGAATCATTTTAGAATCATAAGACTACATGTTTTGCAAGACTATACTACAGCTAAACTATACTAATGATGCACAACTGAATCTTGCAGTCTGCATTAGAGCTTTTGAAATAGACATGTAGTGGGATTAAAAACACTGGACACTTTTGTGTATGTTATCAAGGCTTACCAAAGTTTGTGTTTCACAATTAGTTTTTATATAATGGCACCAGTGTGGGGAAAAACGGTAAAATATGCATTGGCTACAGTGAGTGTTACAGCATAACATAATGAGGTAAACGTAAAGATGCTGTGCTGTGTTGGCCAGGTTTACAGATTTAGAGAAAGGAAAAAAACATATTTCGTTTGCTCTCTATACCTTTGAATAATATTAATACTAATTTAGAGTGAATGCTTGGTCTGGTCACAGACATTACTGTATTTACATATTCCTAACAAGCAATACATTAGCTTTTCAATGAGTCATCACTGATCTCTTTAGAAACAGGCACTGTGGAGAAATTCATCCTGAAAGTTCACAGAGAACACACTGCCCTTGCAATCCAAATGTGGGTGCCAATATATTGCTAACAGCACCCCAAATGCAGATCGCAAATACAGTGCGTTTGCGGGCTTCAATCACATGGTACTGCAGTGCCATGCGGTTTGGTGCAGTGCATTTTTAAAAGTAGTGCAAACATTACTTTTTGCGTGGTCAGCTGCATTTTTAAGCCCATTCAAATGAATGGGCTTTTAAAACACCCTTGAGGAGGGGTAAAAACGCGTCAGCAGACGTACTTCCGGTTTCCTATGTTGAGCGTGTGACGTCATATCTGGGTGAGTGGAGCGCACGCCGGTCGGTGCGTTCCAGGGTCATCTTGTACATGCTTAGAGCTGATCTCTTACTCAGTGCTGCCAGTTTGGTTTACTTTCTGGAATCTGTTTTACACTAGGAAGTCTGTTTTGGAGGATTTTCTCAATTGGCAACTTATTTTAACCCCTTCACGCCGGCCCTTTAAGGGTTCCAGAAGCCGGGAGGTGGGGTGAGGTTTAGGGTCATGTGACTGCCGTGAGTACCGGACATGTGTGCTGGGAGCGCGCACTCTCGGCACATATGTCCTTTCTTAATAGAACGCAAATGTGCGGCCGCTAGGTATCTAAGCCCAGATGCCAAGAGGCCGCACATTTTAAGTTAAGTTATAATATGAGTACATTGAGCACTAACTTGTTCAATTGGAAGTCTTTGCAGTATTGCACTGTTGGTTCTCCTTTGTCTTCCTATATAACACATCGTTACGAGGGGAAATTTCTTTTGAAGTTGGATGTAAGGAAGCTCTTGTATATGGAGGAGGCTATGGAGAGGAAATTTTCCCTGGGAATTGGAGGATAATATTGTTTCCATAAACTGCAATTCATTCATATCTCTGGTGAGTGCGGAATACATTAGTATTCACAGGAAGGTGTGGATCCGTGGAGTCTTTTCTCTGTATTACACTTATCCTAAAAAAAATTTTTGGAGCACTATTTGCATGTTTAAAGGGGACTTTCTTTGTTTTTGGTTTCATCACTTTTTGTATTTGGACACACATTTTAAAAATTTTTTTTTCATTTTGGTGGTTTTGGACATTTATTTCATAACCACAGAATTTATTATGATTTGTGTATAATTATTTTTGATTCATTTCATGTTTTGCACTGTTTTATTGTTTCACTTTTAAAACACACTGCACGGGAATGCACTGGAATCACATGGAAGCATGTGCATTCCTGTGGGATTCCAATGCAAATAACCCCTTAGAATTAATTTCTCCACTGTGGCTGCTGTTACATAGGTCAGTGAGAGCTTGTATTTAAAAGCTGATTTACTGCACAGCCACAGGTTCATTTTAAAAAATTCAATGACCTGACTAACAACTATTACCAGGAGATGTCTGGTATTACCTTTGTTAGCCTGAAACCCCACCTATGTGTGTCTTTCAATTTAGTTTTACTTTGCTACTAAGGCCCAGCTTCCCTGAGTTCTGGGTTAAGCTCTGCTCAATTGTGATCTCTCTGTATAATAAAGGCAGTACGTTGTTATTGAGGCCGCTTTCATTGGGCTTTGTAGGTAGGTGAGGCTTAACCTAGAAGTTGAGAAGGTCAAGCCCCCAGCAACAAAAATCAGAGAGGTGTGCAGAAGGGGGTTTTCTAAATTATAACTAATAACACTTTTTGCGCTGCCAGCTGTTACTATTTAATTTTCCTTTAAAAGTTTTAAAATGCTGAAAGGTTAGCCCTTGTTAAAGGTGCTCTGACCTGCCCACAAATACCCCTGCAAATATTACTCTGGAAAAAGGCAGTTTTCAGAGCACTAGAGGCAGTTGTCAGATCATCTTGGTTTAATGTATATGGTAAAGCTTAAAATCAATAATCAGCTCAAGACACATGATGCATGAGCAAGTTCAATGGCCAGACTCAATCTTTAATAGAATTTCAGGTTATTTTTTTAGACAGGATAAAAACAACACATTAAATGTATTCTAAGATACAATTAGGTACCTGAATTTGTCCTAAAGTGGTTGTACACCCTTACATATACCCAGCGGGAGCTGCCAAAGTTAACTCTTCCTATTAACA